AAAAATGATTTTTCTGATGAAGGGTCTAGGCCCGAAACGTCAGCCTTTCTGCTCCTATGATGCTGCTTGGCCTGCTGTGTTCATCCAGCTCTGCACCTGTTGTCTTGGATTCTCCAGCATTTGCAGTTCTTACTATCTCTAACCCTTGGTGATACAGCTGTTTAAAAAATGTCTACATTGAGTGTAGAAAGCTTGGAGTCATTTGTAATCAGAGAGATGGAGTTGTTGACCCATCTCTATTACTGACTGCAACTCATCCTACTGCTGCATAGTTCCAATCAATACATGAAACAGTTGATGTCTCAGCACAGTCAACAGCAAAACTAGATGAAGCACTGTCTTTCATCATTTAATAATGTTCTTAAACTAGGAGGGAAGTATAGTGCCCAAGGCATTGTAAGGGATTCTGGCCAAACTCCTGGAAATCTATTTAAAACAGTGAAAAAGTAATGATTTTAAACAATAGAAAAGCCATGAAACGTTTACCCCATGTTGTCCCGCGAGGGGTAGGTGTAACATAATCCAAGACCAGGACTTTCTTCCCATACTTGGCAGCTTCCTGAGGAAGGGAGAGCACACTGAACATGTAGCCGTTTGCAATAAGAAAAATTCTTTAAAAGACAGCTTTTACACAGGACATAATAGGAGCTGGAGGTGGACATTTGGCCCTTCAAACCTGCTGCATTTTTCACCACATCACCCCAGCATCCAAAAACCTCTCATGGTCAAGAGAAGAATGATCAAGCATCCATAGCCCTCTGGGTAACAGAATTCCAATGATTCACAACCCTTAGAATGAAGGGGTAACACCACCTGTCTTAAATAGTTAACTCTTTACTCATATCTTCCATGTGGAGAAATACCCAGCATCCATCCTGGCAAGCTCAAGAAGTCTGGTTTTGATTTGTGTGTCTCATTTCTTTTAAAAAAAAAATAAAAGAACATTAATTCCTGCAGTGTTGTCCTATAACAGTTCAATTAATGAGCCTTTGTTGCATAGCCTCTAGGGCCAAATGCAACTAGATTAGTTTTAAGATATTAAGTCGATGTAGACAAGTTGGACTGTTTCCACAATGTGGATCTGATGTAGAGGCCTTTCCTTGGGAAAAGGCCAAAACTAAAATTATCTAGGTATAGCCTCCGAGGCCTAATACAAATAGCAAGTTTGAGCCAAATAGAAATTGTTAAAACCTAATTCAGCCTTTAGCAAAATCTCATGCAACTCATCTTACTGCTGCATAGTTCAAATCAATACTGAAGTGGTTGATGTCCTCAAATTAAGATCACAATAGTTCACAAATTTTACATGCCTCCAGCTGTGGTCATGCAAACATTGCCTTCCTCTGGAGAAGGATGAAGGCAGTGTCTTTGCTTCCAATTGTATATTCCCAGAGGTTCTAGACATTTTCAAAGTGTTTTTTAATACCTTGGTGTCTATTATATAAATTTTGGTGCTTTCTTTTATGTAACAACCCCAAAGCATTTTAGTCAATTAACCAGGTGTAACTTAAAACAAAATATGCACAATATCTTACAGTACAGAGTCTGCCATTTGGCTATCTGACCAATAGACAGCCCCTCTGAAAATGCAGCACTATCAACCTAGATTTGAGCTCAGCTTCTCTGGAATTGGACTAGCACCCACAAGTGTGGGGTGTCTCAGGCAAACGTAGACCCAAGTCACCAAATACTTGCAACCCATTAAAAACTGCTTTCAGAGATAAAATGGTTTACAGCTGGATGAACACAGCAGGCCAAGCAGCAGAGGAGCAGGAAAGCTGACATTTTGGGCCTAGACCCAAAACGTCAGCTTTCCTGCTCGGCCTGCTGTGTTCATCCAGCTCTACACCTTGTTATCTCAGATTCTCCAGCATTTGCAGTTCCTACTATCTCTGAAACAAGTTTGGACACAAGCAGAGTTTTGCAAAATTGGGTTTGCACAGGAAGGGCAATGGAGTCAGGTCTTCAGTCACATCTGCCACTAATTGCTCACCACTGCCCAATATTCAGTCTTCATTAAAGTCAGTTTCAGTTAGAGCATAAGATTGCTCAGGTAACTAAATATGTGTCATACATGAAGTGCTCTTGACAAGATGGTGATCTAATTAAAAAGGGATGAATTGAAAGTAAAAACACTTGCCTTTGTGCAAAACAAAGCCCAGTATTACAAAGTGTTGGAGATTGAATTTTTAAAGTGCAACTTAAGTTATTCAAAAATATGGCTCCATGTGTATTTAAGAGGAGTTAGAAGGCATGGAAAGCAGCGATTTGTGTTCGGTCTGGTCTGGTCAAATTTTAGTTGGCGCTTTCCAACCTTGCTTAGATGTGAATCCTAGAATCCCTAGGGTGAAAATACAGGGCATTCAGCCCATGAAGTCTGCACTGACTCTCCAAAGAGCATTCCACCTCCACTATCACCATAACCCTGAATTTACCCAGTGAACTCACTTAGCCTGTACAACCCTGGACATTATGGGCAACTTAACATGGTCAATCTATCTATCCTGTAGATCTTTGGTCTATGACAGGAAACCAGAGCACCCAAAAGAAACCCACGCAGACATGGGGAGAATGTGCAAGTGCCATAGTCAGCTGAAGGTAGAATCAAACCCAGGTCCCTGGCACTGAGAGGCAGTGCTAACCACTAAGCTATTGTACCACTTTGGAAAATTGAGATTAAGACCTCCATTTGAGGAAGTGTCCTTATACTTTTCAGATCAAAAAGATTAGTTTTAGAAAGCAAATCAATTAGCTTGGATTATGTGGGATATGTTGCAGGGAAAGTTAGTTACTTTTTGTTGATCTGTGCATTTCCTTTAGATAGAGGCATGTTTCTGACTGGAGGTCAAAGAGTTGACAGACAGGCAGAGTGAAAATTGTAGCTGTAGACCACTTTAGGACATTAAAGTCATGCGTCAGCTGAAGGCGTCCACACTCATGGTGGTAAAGAGGATGTGTGGCTGAATCCAGTGGAAGGGCTCCTAATCAATTTCTTACTGCAGAGTAGCAGGAAGATCAGGGAAACTAAAGTGAATTCTGCTCCCCCCCCTCCAACATTTCATGGAATGTTGGCACCTCTGGTTAGGCCACCATTTTCTGCTTGCCCCAATTAAGCATCAACTACCTCATCTGAGTCTGGAGTCAGATGCAGGCCATACCAGTTAAGGGTGCAGGTTCTTTCTCCTCCCTCCCACCCCCAATGGAAATTAGTGAACCAGATGAGTCAGATGTCTCACCTGCTAACAAGTCTCCATACAAAAACAAACAGTGGGCTCAACAATTGTCATCACCATGACTCAGGCCATACCTTTGATGCTGAAAGCCCTCCAGAACCTCCTCCAATGACAATCAGATCATAGTCATAGGGTTCCCCTGTTTCACTGGATTGATTCATCACCAACACCTTTGAAGTGCACCTTCGTAAACTTTAGCTGAAAGGGCAAAAAGAAAAAAGTTAACATTTTCTGTTCCTTGCATGATCAGTTCCCTATACTTACTCCATTTTACAAAAGATTGATGTTGACATGGTCAAAAGAATGCATTTGCTGTATGACAACAATGGTTTCTTCCTTCCTGTCAAATAGCAGGCTTGTGCCAAATTAATCTATTGATATTTAAATCACGAGTTAAATTGGCTCCACTCAGGTGGAAGATCCTGGAAATAATAGAAAGGTGATAGAAAGGCTTTAAGCAGCTCAAACATCAAGCACAATGCAAAGGAAGCCCGAATAGGCTTGGGGGCAAGGGTTTGGAAAACAAAATGAAAAGATCGGCCAATAAGAAATGGTCCCCATTTCTTCAAACAAGAAACCAAGAAGTTGAAAACCGAAATAATGTTGGTCTGTTCAGGGGACAAAAAGTAGATGGGTAATATTTTAAACACCTAAAAGCACCTTTTAGCCAATGGCTCAATGTTAGTAATTCAGGCAGATCTTGTATTAGTTTCACAAACTAACAATGTAGTTGTATCTGATCCAATACAGGAACTGGATGGACACTCCCACACTGTCATTTGAGACCATTAATATTCCATGTCATCAAGGATCATATTTCACAATTGAATTCTTGCATAAACCATGACTGAGACTGAATAATTTTAAGTAGCAGTAGAACTGTAATATAGAGAATAGAAAGAACTAGAAAGTAGGAAGGCAATTTAAAAAGTACACAACCTGAATAGTGAATTTAAGTGAAGAAATGAAATCAAAGTAATCTAACCAACTGGCCTCTCTGCTCCTATGATGCTGCTTGGCCTGCTGTGTTCATCCAGCCCTGCACTTTGTTGTCTCGGATTCTCCAGCATCTGCAGTTCCTACTATCTCTAACCAACTGGCAAGGTACTTAGACAGCAATATTTTAAATAGAAGGACTCTCCTTTGTTCTGATTTTTTTCCCCACCTAGGTCCCAGCCCCTTGGTAATTCAAGTACAAGCTTGTTAGCTTCCTCCAGGGCAAATGTAGGATAATAATTCCAAACTCAAAGCTTCTGCTACCCAATTAAGTTAGCACTCAGGTGAAGTGGGGGGAGAAGAGGAGGGGGGGGGGAAGGAGAAGAAGAGAGGGGGGAAAAAAAAATTCAGTTGGTGCTGCTGTTTCATGCTGCTACCACTGCCACGCCAAAATCTACTTCTGGGGAACAGAAGGGAATGTAGATATTTCGGAGTGAGGGTCCATTCAGTTGTCAGCCTCAGCGCTTCGACGCAAATACAAGTATAGTTTTCTGCACAAGCATGAAGTGCCCTTGTTTTGGCAACTGTTGAGAAGCTGAGAATGTTTTGTTTGCTTCCTTTCCTCTCTACATAGGCTGTTCAGATCTGATTTAGAACATTTGTACTTATGATTATGAATAAAGTATATTCAAATGAATACTTTCAGGCTCCGAGTACAGTTTCTGGGGATGTTTAGACATTAGAAATCAGTAAACTACTTGCAGAATTTATTTCCATATCGAAATGGCATCCTCAGAATTGTACAAGAGGGTCACTTTGATAAGAACTTTGCTAGTATTCAGTAGCCAGGGAGAAATTTAAAACTGACCAGCTCTGATTCAATAAAATTAAAGGGGGTGAGGTGGGTGAAGGATACAAAACATGCTGATCAAAACTGTCTTGTCTGTGTAAACTTAAAAATTAGATTTGCACTCTGATTAACAGTAGGTGGCTAACAATGGGATTGGGTCTAGCAATTTTACATTGTCCAAATTTAACTCCATTTACACTTCAGTCAAATCGAGCATTGCTCCCTGGTCACCAATAGCCAAACAGGTTAAACTAACCCATTGGTCAAGTGATTGGCAAAGAGGCTAATGATATTTTTTTATGAAAAAAAAATTGCTGGAAAAGCTCAGCAGGTCTGGCAGCATCTGTGGAGGAGAAAACAGGGTTAATGTTTTGGGTCCAGTGACCCTTCCTCAGAACTGATGGTGGCTGGGAAAACGTCAGTTTATATGCAGAAAATATGGGAGGTGGGTGGGATAGGGAGTAAACGACAGGATAGAGCCCAAGGAGAGAGGAAGACAGTTGGACAAACAAAGGAGTTGATAACGATCAAGCTGGGAGGGTGAACAGTTGTTAATGGGGACTGTTAGTGACTAACAGCAGGGAGTGTGTAATGGCAGACTGTGTGGTAACAAGGCCTGGGACATGAGAGAGTTCAGGCCCTAAAATTATTGAACTCAATATTAAGTCCGGAGGGCTGTAGGGTCCCCAAACGGAAAATGAGGTGTTGTTCCTCCAGCTTGCGTTGGGCTTCCCTGGAACACTACAGCAAGCCAGAGACAGATTTTTTTTTTTTAAAATTGTTAGGATCTGGACTGCACTGTCTGATTTTATGGAAGAGAAACTCAAGTCGAGCTCAAGGGAATTGATAGTCACTTAGGGTGGGGCAAAATGCCAAGGTCACAAGGAACAAGAAATGAAGACAGATCGAGGTGCTTTTTTTTTAAAAAACAGGGCTAGTACAGGCACAACAGGCCAAGTGTCCTCGTTGCCTGCTGCAATCGTTTTCTCAATCTACCTTCACCAAAATATGCCCACTAATTGTCCAGCTTTGATTCAAATAAATCGAAATTCAAGCCTACCCCTTCTCCCCACCTGCCTGGTAGAGGCAATTTTTGCTTTGTCACTGTGAAGAGAAGGAGGAAGTTCAGATTAACTTCAGTGTAGTACATATAAAGCAGCTTCCCCCCCCCCCCCAAATTTCAACCCTGCCCTTGGGAAAGGCACATTTCGAGGAGACCAAATACCCCTCTCCGAAGCTACTTTAAAAAAAAGTTAGTTCTGACCACATTTACTGCTTGTGCTGCTGAAGAAAAATGGAACAAGGAGGACGCTTCAGACTTCTCGTCTGTGAGAAAGTTCCCTGTTTCTAAAAGGATTTCTCTCTTACGGCGAGCAGTCTGCCTGGATAAATCCAGCAATAAAACGCGTTCCAGACACAGACTATAGCAAATCACAGAGAGATAGCCGGCAGCTTGCGCGCTAGGAGGGAAAAAGGGTTAATTCTGGCAGTGAATAAAGTGTGAAAGCTCCATATTGCAGCACGATTCCCCTTAACACACCATCGCCCGCGGAAACAGCCCTGAAACAGACACACACAAACAAAAAAAAAAACAAGGATTCAAAACCTTGCGCATCTCCACACTGATTTAACGGTTCTAAAAACATAAACCATTAAGAAAGAGCATATGCTTTTCTAAACAAAAAGGAAATAAAATGGCTTTTTTTAATTCCCTGGAAATAATGAAATCTGCATACACTCACCCCGTAGTACCAAGTTAAAAGCCCGAACACAGAAGATAGCGTGACTCCCTACCTGTTGAGTCTCACCGGTAGCTGCCAAACACATCAGGTACAATCTGCTTTTCAACCTGTGTCAGGTCAGTCAACTCTCCCCACACCACACTGTTCCTCTCACTGACAAGACAAGCAGCAGTAGCAGCCTATACCCTTTTACAACCTCATCAGGGGCGGAGTCTCTACTGCCTTAATCACTGACACTCCAACCTCTCTGCCTGCTCATTTCCCCTGGAAACGAAATCACATTGGCCACTCTCAGACAAGCTCCTCATTGCTGGGATGACTGGCGAGAATAAACTCGCGTTCCCAAAAAAAAAACCCTAAGGTCGCATGATTCAGCAGAATTCCTCAGCTAACCTCATCAGTCATACTACCTTTTGGGCTGTTGCCAAATCCTCACTGAGAATATTCGATTTCACCGACCTTGTTTGAATATCGTGTGTCAGATCACAGGTGAGATACCCCGCCTTCAAAGTGATTGAGGTTCTACCTGTACAAGAAAAGAAATTGCAAGAAAAGCTCAGCAGGTCTGGCAGCATCTGTGGAGAGGAATCAAAGTTAATTGTTTCAGGACAAGTGACCCCTCCTCAGAACTGATGGTAGCTAGGTTCTACCTATCCCTGGTGTTGCAAAGGATGTCACAGATGACCAGAGGGTGTGGAGAAAGTTTAAATCTAGAATGGACTTTTCCAGGGGCTGTATCACCGGTGGAGTATCTGCCAGCAGGAGGCCACTCACTGCATCCACATTTAACATTTGGCCTCCCGGTCAGTGTTCCAACTTGTGATTATACACTTAGGATGAGAGCCCATCGCTGAATTCGACCTGAAGCTACGTGCAGCATGGCCTTGTCCTCTTTGAGTAGTCCTAGCAGGGGCTTGTGGTCTGTTACTGTTACAAATTCCCATCCATAAAGGTATTTGTGGAACTTTCTCACACCAAATATGACACCAAACCTCCCTTCTGTATCTGGGCACATTTGCCTCTACATTAGCCAATGTCCGACAGGCATAAGCTATTGGGCATTCCTCTCCATTGGGCCATCTGTGAGGCAACACTATTCTGATGTCGTATGGGGAGGCGTCACATTGTCAGCACCAGATCTCACTTGAGATCATAGTGTACCAACACCTTAGACAATGATAGCTGCTTCTTCACTTCCCTAAACACTATGTATTGGCTACAAGACCATTTCCAGAGAGGCCTCTTTTTCAATAGCAAATGTAGGGGTGCCAGCATGGAGGCCAGGTTATGTATGAACTTCACATAATAATACACCAGCCCAAGGAAAGACCTAAGCTCTGGCACAAATGTGGGAGCCGGGGCACCTTTGATCACCCTCATTTTACCTTCCAACAGCTGTAACCTGGTCTTGTCAACTCTGTAGCCCAAGTAGGTCACTTGGGGGGTCTGGAACGCACATTTTTCCCCTCTAAGGCCTATACCTGCCTTGGAAAAACATCTAAGGACTATGTCCAAGTTCTGTAAGTGCTGTTTGGTGGTCTTCCCTGATGTGGGGGTACCAGTGTTGGACAGGGTGGACAAGTTCAAAATCACATGACACCAGGTTATAGTCCAACAGGTTTATTCAAAAACACTAGCTTTTGGAGTGTTGCTCCTTCCTCAGGTATAGTGAGAGAGGAGGTATGAAGACACAGTGTAGAGGCAGGGTTCAGTCAGTTGGTGTGCTAGCTGCAGATTGAAAGAGAAGAATTCATAACTCATCGTAGAATCTGCAAATACTCAGGATTGTCAAGTCTGGAAAACTGCTTACCATCACTGAATTCACTTCAGATGACACAAACCAGCAAAATTTGTGAGCAGATACCACTGAGTGAAAAAAAGGAACGAGCAGTACAATCCAACTGGGATCACATGTGTAACAAAAACAGAAGTTGTAAAAGATCAAAGGATCATACAACTGATGCAAATATATTGAATAAACCTAACGTAGCTGGCTGACTCCCTCCTGTTAAATCTGTAATCGGTTAGAAAGGAAATACAGGTTTCAATTGATTAAAATGCAAATCCCAGAATTTCTTTCAAGTCACTGCCCCGAGATAGCTAAAGGTTTTATTAGTGTACACAAGAGGTGACATCTCCATGCATTTTAGGTGTGAGACCTTGTTTAGAATCTGTCTGTGTCAGACTGGTTTTATTTCCAAAGCAGGAATTTATAAAATGCCCCATTGACTGACTGTGTCTACAAATTGTGTGCTTTTTGAACAAAATAGAATGTATCTGCAAATACAAATCTGCAAATGCAAATTCACCCCATAGATTCACCCCATCTAGCCTTTTTCCCGGCCAACATCTCTGTCTCTGGCTTGCTACAGTGTTCTAGCGAAGTTCAGCGCAAGCTGGAAGAACAACACCTCATTTTCCACCTGGGGACCCTGCAGCCCTCCGGACTCAATATTGAGTTCAATCATTTTAGTCCCTGAACTCTCCCATGTCCTAGCCCCCCACCCCACACACCAGACCTTGTTATCACATCGCCCGCCATTACACATTACCTATGGTTAGTCACTAACAGTCTCCATTAACAACTATTCACCATCTTAGCCAGATTGTTATCAACTCCTTTGTCTGTCAAACTGTTCTCTCTCTTTGTGTCTATCCCCACCTATCATTTACTCCTTACCCTCTCCCCTCACCCTATCTTCTGCATATAAACCAACATTTTCCCAGCTACCATCAGTTATGAGGAAAGGTCACCGGACACTTAATGTTAACTCTGATTTCTCTTCATGGATGCTGCCAGACCTGCTGAGCTTTTCAAGCAACTTCTGTTTTTGTTACACATGTGATCCCAGTTGGATTGTACTGCTCGTTCCTTTTTTTCACTCAGTGGTATCTTCTCACAAACTTTGCTGGTTTGTGTCATCTGAAGTGAATTCAGTGATGGTAAGCAGTTTTCCAGACTTGACAATCCTGAGTATTTGCAGACTCTACGATGAGTTAGGAATTCTTCTCTTTCAGTCTGTAGCTAGCACACCAACTGACTGAACCCTGCCTCTAGACTGTGATTCCTAGATGCCAGTCACCTGCCTTCACCCCAAGAAGCCACCTAACCTTTCCAATTGCACTGTGTGCCTGACATAAGCCACCCTCAAACCCTGCCCTAACTTCCCTGGGCTGTAGAATGCCTCCCCACTGTGAAACCCCTTCTCACCTTCCTTTTGGGTTTCTTCCTGCAGTACTACCTGCATCCACCAGGGGTGATGGAGCAGCTAACCAATCAGATTGGCTGGCAGCTTCTGAGGATAAGTATTCCCAGGTACATATTAGACAAGTCGCTTAGACATTGTTACTGAGCCAATTGGTGAATTTAGGATGCAGACCTTCACTGTCTGAGATCCTACACTGTTCTGGCCTTCTTCACCCAAACCCTTTCTTAGATTAGATGGAATTTAATGCAGCCTTCAATATTAACCCCTTCAGAACCATTACTTTGTAACGTAACTGTCAAGGTACTTCCCCGCAGTCCATAATAGGGAAAATCCAGACAGATGTACTCCTGAACTATCTGCTTCCTGTAGTTGAGGAAATCCTCCCAGAGATGTAGTGTGGTCTTAGGCCTCCCAGAGGCACCTCCTCCTTGACATGATTTTTGTTGTCAGATAATTCCTAGAAAAGACAGGGAGAACAACATTGGGCATCATCAACCTAGCCATTTAAACATTGGACTCAATAGATTGTGAATGACAGGTGACCTTATAGAGATTTATAAATTAATGAGGGGCATGGATAGGGTGAATTGCCAAGCTTTTTTTTCCCAGGGTAGGCGAGCCAAACCTAGAGGGCATAGGTTTCAGGTGCGGGGGAAAGATTTAAAATAGACCTGAGGGGCAACCTTTTCACACAGGGGGTGGTGCGTGTATGGAACAACCTGCTTGGGGAAGTGGTGGGGGCTGGTACAATAACAACATTAAAGGTATTTGGATGGCTGTATGAATAGGAAGAGTTTAAAAGGAAGTGGGCCAAATGCTGACAAATGGGACCAGATCAGTTTAGGATATGTGGTCGGCATGGACGAATTGGCCCGAAGGGTCTGTTTCTGTGCTGTACAACTCTATGACATTAGATGTTGTTCTGCAGTAAGTGGATGTCAGAGCTATGTCCTTACAATCCTGAAAAGGTTTCATCATTATATAACTGTAACTGCCTTCAAAGTCCATATTGGAGTCAGGCAGGGCTACATGGTAGCCCCCATATTGTTTACAATCAGAGAGGATTACAATCAAGTAAATAGTGTTCTGACCCAGGTTGGAGGAATGCTCTAACTTTCTCTAGTCGCATTACTCCACTTGTTACAACATCAATGTTTCAACATTTTACACAATTTCCTGATTTGACAAGTTTATTAGATTTAGAATAAAACAATCAGGTTCCTTCAGTATTCAACACTGACTAAAGAAAAATAATCTCTGTGGAGATTAATTTTGGAAGAAAAATTACAGTAATTTGGCCCATAGTGGTTAGTTCTTAAAGGAAAACAGATGAAGTATGGGATGTTCAAGATGGCTTTTAGTTATTGTCCTGGTACGGGGTGTCACTAAACTCAGACATTTGTCACGGGGATCTTCAAGTGCAGTTCATTTAATTGAGAATAACTCCTTCAGTGGACTTTCAGGAGGACAGTTGAATCAGTGTTTCATTTATCACACTGGATACAACAAAGGGTTCACACAGAAAGGTAGAGGATGAGCTCAGTAGCTTCTCTCTCTCTTAGCAGGTTGTACCCTAATGGAACTCCAAACAGTATCTAAAACAGCCATAAACCCAGACATGTGGCATCCAGTAAACAAGATCAAGCAAATTAACTTAAGCCATGTGATTTTCAAGAAGCGTCCTTTTCAAAACAAAATCCCAGTATTTTTTCTTTTAAACACAGGTTTGTATATCCAAATGCACCACAGTCCACAATCGTTTAAGATTAATCTTCAAAAATATTAATAATGAAGCATCTTCGCAACATTAGGTACTTTCAAAATGTGCCTGGGGAGACATAAAGATCAATAGTGCAACCATTGACCCTAGCATTATACACAAAATTTTTATTGACCCCAGATCCCCGGAACATTACCTAGATCTGTGGACTAACAGTCCAGTAATAATACAACTAGGCCATCACCTCCCCTAAAGGCTCAGCGTCAACTTCCATCTGATTGGGCCTCTGTCAATCGAGGGGTCACTCTCACATGTTAACGCCACTCAATAAATGTATAATAAGAGACAAAGAAATGGTTGAGCA